TCGTCTCCGCTCTCGTCGTCAACCCACTGCTGAGCGCGCCGTCTACGCGCGGAAGCTCCGACTTCGCGATCGCTTACCGGATCGGTAGGTACGTTGTCGACTGCGCCGTCGAAGTCCACGACCTGCGCCGCTGCCTCTGCAAGGTGCGCTGCCTCTGCGCGGCGCTGTGTTGCCACCACTAACCTTTTGGCAGCACTTCGATTTCTTTTTTTCTTGTTTTGACCTAACCCAGCATCCGCGACGACGTCCGTCACGGTCTCGGTGTCCGCGACGACGTCCGACACGGTCTCGGTATCCGCAACAACGTCTGACGCGGTCTCGGCGTCCGCGACGACATCTGACACAGTCTCGGCGTCCGCGACGACGTCCGACACGGTCGTGGACACGACTGACGGCGGCCCCCTCATCCGGGGACGTGGAACCTATCAAGAGGTCAAGATTCAACCAGTAAGTTCATTTGTTTGTTCTTACCACTTTTCTCTGATGTTTTCCAGTTGCAGCCACCCCGCGCTCCGTACCGAGTCCCGCTGCGACATCGCGCGCCCACCTAGCGGACTTCCGCGCTGCGCGGTTCGGGCGTGTCACGTCCGTCCCATCGAGTGCGCGCTGTCCTCCTCCGGGCCTCCCGATGGCCTGCGCGCAGTTTGTTATGAGGTAAGTCCTTTGTTACAAGGTGAGTACTTACCTGCCAGCCGTCAACCTCCCTTACCGTCCCTGCAACCTCCTCTTCTCTCTCGTCCGCACTCACACCCTCGCGCTGAACATCTGCACCTTTCGGAGCGCCTGCTTTCGACAGCGCGCGCTCCGGAAGTTTGTTGTTACTAGAGTCCTGCATGTTAACTAAGGTTCGTACTTATTCCTAGTATGTTTTGCAGGTAGACGTCAGCAGAGAGCAGCGGTAAGAAAATATCACCACTTCCCGATACGCAGACTGACCTTGTTTTAGGGTTATTCGCTCGATTGAGCGACGGACATTTAATGTCCAACAACCACATCAAGCGCACCGCGCATGAACCCTCTCACACCATCCAACGCAACTAAAGGTATGTCTCAATTCTTTCATTTTATAGCTCTACATTTACTGGTTTTACATATACATTCAGGTCCTTGCCACTCAAACGAGCATCCCCCGGCCGGCCGCCCTCCCGCTCGACACTCCTCTCGCCCTCGCGCCCGCATAGAATCCCACTCTCTCGCGCCCGCGCAGAATGCCATTCTCCCGCGCCCGCGCACAGGGCGCGCTCTCCACGTGTCAGGCGGTCCTGCTCGATCTCCGCGCGGGCGCGTTCCTACGCCAGCTGCACGCCTTGCAGAGCGACCAGCTCGGGCTGCCCGCACACGCGCGCGCCGCGCTCTTCAGCTGGCAGATGTTCATGGGCCTGCTCGACGCTGCAACCGCACTGCCTGGCATGCACATTCGGGGTTTTCATGTTCGACGATTGCGAGGTGCCGCCACTGGTGTCGCTTGCGGGCCACGCTGACACTATCCTCGTGGATCTGGATCCGGAGACGGCGGAGGATTCGGAGGTGCCGGTCACAGCGCGTCGCACCTGCAGTACGACATGCCCTCGAGGAAGATAGCAACGGCATGGTGGTGAGAGAGAGCAGTCAGCGCTCCCACGGACTGCAGTCCGAGCGTGGACAGCCGAACACGACGGGCGTGGCCCCAATGAAGTGGTGGGAATACCTGTTGAGGCCTCTGGTCAAAATTTGTATATCATGTCATACAAGGCTGGCGCACCTTTTGTATTTGCCGTAGCCTGCGAACTGGAAGCCCCAGTGAAACGCGCTGAGGAGCGAGAGCATGACGGCGCAGTAGGTCATCTGGATGTTCAGCGCGTGGCCGAGCGTCGTGATCGCGCCGCCGGGCTCAATCCGGGAGGCGAGATCTGTGGACAGTGCATCGGTGAGTCGCGCGTTGTAACGCGTGCAGTGCAGGACGCACCCATATCGTACCAGTCTGTTGGGCCATCCATATGGTCGCTACTGCCGTGTCAGTATTCGGGGTGTTCAGACGGGCATATGGGCGAACGTGCCCGCAAGAATGTCCACATGCATGCAGGCAGACATCTTATAATACAGGCCCGCCCACCCAAGCGTGCAAAAAGCGCGTGGTGGGATAATCATGTCGGGTCCCTGCGTCCTCTTGTCCCGGCGAGCGAGCCTACGACGCGATGTCACACGGTGGCGAGGTGCGAGATGCGAGTGGGTTGGGCATGTAGTCATCCGGCCATGGTTGGACACCCAGGAGCGAGGGCGACTAAGCATCCTAGCGGGCGGGCATCCTGCCGTCCCAGCAGTAGTCCAGGCGTGGGGGCGGAGACGCTGACGGGCGCACTGGCCTGCGAGCGGGCGGAGACGCTGACGGGCGCACTGGCCTGCGAGCAGGCGGGAGTCCTGGCCAATCTTCTGGCTGGCAAGCTAGTGGGCATCCTAGCATGAAGGCGTCTTGATGACCGGGCATGCGTGAATATGGTGGCCGAAGGCAGCCCGGACTTGGCTGCAGCCTCCATGATTTTGCGGCCGATGAGTGCTATTCGTGAACACCACCTGCGCGCAAGGGACCGTCAAATCACATTCTTGTAATGAGTGCCAAACGCACCCTCTCAATAGCTACGTACTCCGCTATTGTCTGCCCGTCATTGCTGCTGTAGCGACACAGGGCGGGAACCCGGACCCGTAAAAAACCTGGCGATCAAGAGTACGAGAGGGCGTAAACCCTAACGGCTTGAGGACGAGCGACTTGCCAGTCACGGGAAAGGGACCAGGCTGCCGGGCAAGCATGAAGACTGCGAGAAATCAATTCAGCAGGCGCGTGCACAGCGTATCGCAGAGGGGCTTACGTGAGAAGGGTCTCGTCGAGGCCGTACGTCAGGGCCTTTGCCGCGTCAAAGCCGCCGCGGTCCTTGCATTGAAGCTCGAGGTACCGGCCGTGACTGTATGTACCGGCGTCTTGACGCTGTCGCGAAGCGGCGTGAGTGCCGTGGTGTGCTCTGCAAGCCTGTGCTTTGCCCTTGAATGCGTCCAGAGCTGGGGTACTTGGTGAATAAGTAGCTTAGACGTTGAATACCGTGTTGCTTACCTATCCTGTATGTCGCGCACGCTCCGTTCCTACACGGCGTTCCCTGTGCGCAAACAGTCCCTCTCCCTCGTCCAGTCTTTCACCAACTACGGCGTTGTCCTCGCATTCCTGTGCCCCCTCTCCGTACGCCGTGCGCGCGCCCTCCGGTCTCGTGCCTAACCTCGAGATGTTTGAGGGGTTGCGCGCGGGTCCTTCCTGTCGACAGAGATGAGTGGTGAAGAGGCAAGATGCTCACCGTTTATCTGTACTATCAGCTGATGGAGCCAGTCGCAGCCCGAGTCTCTAGCATACAACGAAGTCGAGATAGAGCGCGATAGAGCAGATGGAAGTCGAGATAGAGCGCGAGTGAATAACACAGATGGAAGTCGCCCGAGACGCCGGCCGCGATAGATAGTGACGTCGCGAGAGACGCCGGCTGCGACAGAGTGAAGCAAGAATAATAGAATACATTGAAGTCGAGAAACAAAAGGGTGTACATAAAGCAAAATGAGGGCTTACCTTCTAGGTCAATATAGCCTAGCTGGTTGAACGTGCTGCGGCATGATGAAGGTCGGTCTGCGCGAGTCGAGTGTTCGACTCCCGGGCATGTGCCAGGGTTGTTGGCTCCGCGGAGCTTAATTCTCCACCGCTACACTAACGAACAAATGT